GTAATACAACTGTTAAGTGAATCTGGCATTTCCAGATTCACTTAACAACTGTATTACTAACTGAACAACTGTAGGGATTCACTTAACATTGATGGCAAAGAAGGTGGTCATGTGTCCCCGGGACACTGCAGTTGTAATAAATATGAGCCAGTTGTTCATATTGTAATAAATATGAGCCGGATGCCAAGAATCCAAATCCTGATCACATGATCATGGGGATGCTACAATGGTCGTAACTATGAAAAACAGTCATAAGCCACTTTTTTTCCAATGCCCTTGTGACTTCAAACAGTCACTAAATGAAGAGAGAGCTACTTGTAGTTTCTCTTTGAGCGGTGGTGGCGCAGTGGTTAGCATGTGGTACTGCAGGCTACTTCTGCTGACTGCTGACTGCAGTTCAGCAGTTTGATTCTCACCGGCTCAAGGTTGACTCAGCCTTCCATCCTTCCGAGGTCGGTCAAATGAGGACCCAGATTGTTGGGGGCAAATATGTTGACTCTGTAAACCTCTTAGAGAGGGCTGTAAAGCACTGTGAAGCAGTATATAAGTCTAAGTGCTATTGCTATCAGGGAGGAAATGGTATTATGTTTGGATGGGGAGGGGTTGCTTGTTTTGAAATCTTGTAAGCCACCCAGAATCCCTTGCATAAAAAGGGGGCAGCTGTGATGGAATGTAGCCTGGATTCCCAGGAGGGAGGAGGTGCATTCCAGAGGAGCAAGAGACAACACAGTTCAGATAGTTTGTGTGAAAGAGGGTGAAGACAGTCCCTCCCTAATGGCTCCCAGAGTATATGCTTTATGGAGGTGGTAGTTTGCTTCAGTTTGGCAAGAATCTGTCTGTAGGTGTTGAACAATAAAGAAATCTGCTTGGAAGAATCACTACACATCTTTCTTGGGTTTTGAAGCCTGACAGGAGATTATATAAATGATGTAGTATTTATTTATATCATTTTATTTATAAGTATAACCCAAATTACTATTTAGTCTCTTTATCCCAGACTTCTTTCCCTTTGTGTTTATTTATTAGATTTTTATGCCACCTTTACTACTTTATAAATAACACAAGGTGGCAAATCCAGTTTTGGTTGCCGTGATATTTTAAAAAAGGCTGAGACTCTAGAAAGAGTGCAGAGAAGAGCAACCAAGTTGATTAGGGGACTGGAGGCTAAAACACATGAACGGTTGCAGGAATTAGGTATGTCTAGTTTAATGGAAAGAAGGATTAGCCATGTTCCAATATCAGTCACAAAGAAGAGGGAATCAAGCTGTTCTCCAAAGCACCTGAGGGTAAAACAAGAAGCAATGGGTGGAAACTAATCAAGGAGAGAAGCAACTTGGAACTAAGGAGAAATTTCCTGACAGTGAGAACAATTAATCAGTGGAACAACTTGCCTCCAGAAGTTATGGATGCTCCATCACTAGAGGTTTTTAAGAGGAGACTGGACAGCCATTTGTTTGAAATGATATAGGGTTTCCTACTTGAACAGGGGGCTGGACTAGAAGACCTCCAAGGTCCCTTTCAACTCTGTTATTCTGAAAAAACCCCAGAAAGTCCAGTTGCATTTTGGAACAGTCATGACCTGGATGATTGAGAATCTTCATAAATATCTTCAAAGAGAAAGGGAAATATATTTAATACTCCTTTCTTTTGCTACTCATGTTTCCCTGAAAATAAGACCCTATCTTATATTTTTTTTGAACCCTGAAATAAGCGCTTGGCCTAATTTTCAGGGGTATCTTATTATTTTGGGGCCCGTGGAGCAAGACGGGGTTCCTCTTGCCATCTTATCTGATTTCCAGCTCTGTCTCCTTAACCCTAACAAGAGGAAATGGCGGGGACTGGCTGAACATGTGGTTAAATATTTTTGGGGAGGACTTATTTCGGGGGGAGGCTTATTTTAGCGCATGCGCTCAAAAGCGCAATTGAGCTTATTATCAGAGGATGTCTTATTTTCAGGGAAACAGGGTATTTTCCAGTGGTGAAATGTAAAATTTGTTACTACCGGTTCTGTGGGTGTGGCTTGGTGTGAGGGGGTAATGTGACTGGGTGGGCGTGGCCAACTTTTTTTTTTTCAACTTTTAAAACCATGTTTTCTACAACCTCTTCAGCGGAAGAGGTTGTAAAAAAAATGCTTTTAAAAGCCTCTGATGATCCCAACTGAGTTGCCTGATCGGCAGATATTTTTTTTTCTTTTAAAAGCCTCTGATGATCCCAACTGAGTTGCCTGATTGTCAGAGGCTTTTTTTTTCTTTTAAAAACATTTTTTCTACAACCTCTTCAGCCGAAGAAGTTGTAGAAAAAATGCTTTTAAAAGCCTCTGACGATCCCAGCTGAGCCACACAATCATCAAAGGCTTTTTTTCTTTGTAACTTTTAAAAGCATTTTTTTGGCCGAAGAGAAAATGCTTTTAAAAATAATTTTAAAAAGCCTCTGATGATTGCGCGGCTCAGCTGGGCATGGTGGGGGGCAGGGATTTTTGCTACCAGTTTTCCGAACCACCCGCCTCCATTCAGATCGGGCAATCCGGTCCGAACTGGGAGCATTTCACCCTTGGTATTTTCCCCATAACGTTGTGTCTCTTACATTCTTGCATCTTCTCCCACCATCATCTTCATTCCAGTCTATTGGATGGAGAACTGGGCTGCATTCATGCAACGTGGATCCTGAATTAACTCATTTTACGACTTTGGAAAAGACCCTCCATCATAAAACTCACCAAACCATTTTGATTCAGACCAGAAGTTAAGCTCCACCTAACCCTAATCTAGATAACTCTATTCAATAGCATGTGATGCAAATGCATCCAGAAAATCTGTCAAAACCCTCGTAAATGGCAGTCAAGTAAATGATTATGGAGCACTGCAAAAGACTGTACAGGTGGGCCAGTTGCCAAGTACACCAGTTGTGATCATGTGACTCCAGGGGAAGTGATGTTTGAACTTCAAAACCGAGGGTCTGTTGTAACTTCAAATGGTCTCTAAGTGACTGTAAATTCACTTAGTGTATTGTAGTGCAAGTGTAGTGAAGAATACACGTAGCTCAAGATTGAACTATGTTTTTCTTGGTGTTTGTTGAAGTGGATTGTCTTCCTGCAGACCTTTTATCTACCAGGCTAAGTAACATCATCAGTGTAGGGACGGGTGAAATTTGCTTGCTGTTTGTATGTGGTGGTTTGTCCTGCCAGCTGCTGCTTCTCTGAGAATTCCTTGATTACAGTATTGTTTTGTCCCTGGTTATTTACTTAGCACTGTTTCCAGCTAATCTGGGTGTTTCCAATGGCTGGCAACAACGTAGCTCTGAACACCATGCATGAACCCACCAGCTGTTTCTTGATAAGCTATCCCAGATACGCAGCCTGATCATACTTAACCGCCGAGGCAAGGTTTATGGCTCCAGAAGGCAAATACTTTTGAAAATAAATAAATATACAAACCGTGATTCTGTTTCGAGGGCGTCCAGATGAAAGAAACCTTGGAAACCTAATGCTCTTTTTTTTTTTTTTTTACAAGGCACCTTTATCCATATTTACACAACTCTGTTTTTCCTTCTCTCCAAAGAAACGTTTGCCTCTGGTATACCAAGGGCCCTACATCTTCCCATGGGAGCTTGCTGAACCTATTTGGCTGACCAGGTTTCTAAATCACAATTTCTTCACTTTGCCCCATTTATTTAGTAACTAAGGCGTCACCAACCTTTCGGACCTCAGGGACCACTAAATTCATAAATTTTAAATCCCGCGGACCACTAATATGATCTGCTGAATGACCAGCTGGGTGGGTGTGGCTAGGTGGTCATGTGACTGGGTGGGCATGGTCAACTCGATGTCTCCCTTCCCTCCCAGCCACTCCTCGTCTACCCGCCCGGGGTTCCTTAGGGCCCCAACAGGAAGAAGTTAAGGTCTCTTGGAGCTAAGCAGCCACCATGAGAAAGAGTTGGCAAAACAGCTGGCTCAGTTCAAATTGGATCTGACCGAGGAGGAGGCTCAGCAGAAGCACCTCACTGAGGACTACAAGCATAGGCTTTCCAAGCAGAAGAAAGACCTGCGGGAGTGCAAGGCCAGGTACCGGCACCTGGAGGCTCAGCAGGCTGAGATGGTCAGCCAGTTTCAGGCCATGATGCAGTCTCAATGGAACAAGGCCCTCGGTCTCTTCACCACCAGCGGCATTTCCCTCCAGCCTTCGCCCAAAGCCCCGTACCAGGAGGCTGAAACAGACCCCAAGTCGGAATTTCTGCCTCCCTCCGACCCACACAAAAAGATCCCGAAGGGGAAGACTCTCTGCAGCAACACAAACATACGTGTTCATTGCACGTATCCGGCCCAGGGGCCACAGTTTGAGGACCCCTGATTTAGTGAAATATTAAAAATGCAAATAATTTTTCTGCATTTTCTGCACCAAAATTTTCTCGCGGACCAGCAGTTGGTGACCACTGATTTAGTCCACCTGAAACCGTGGACACTCAACACAGCTAGCTAGCTAGCTGGTGATGGAGGTGTTGGCAAAAGCCAGCTTAGGGGTATAGATAGAAGCGGGCATTTCATTGCAAACTCGACTTGTGCCTAATAGTCGCCTTATCTGCAGGATCCTCCCAGAGCAATTCATAAAATCTTTGCAGTATTATTCTGCACGCATCTCCCAGATGCCTTTATTACACCTTTGCAAAAAAGGATTTTCTTCTTCTTCTTCTTCTTCTCCCCCACTTCTCCTTTCTTTTAGTGCGTGACCCCCCCCCCCCCAACCAAGGGAAGAGCTTTTTCAGATTTCTGGACCAATTCACCCACCCTCATTTTACAACAAAGCTTGGGAGACTTTGGACTACGCCCTGCCAGACTCAGCTGGAGAAAGAAATCCTCGCTCTCGCTCTTTTTTTTTTTTTTTTACGAGCTCAAGTTATCCCAGCAGTGAGAAACGCGCGTCCTTCTCTCTCTCTCTCCCCCCTCCTCTCTTTAATGTCGTTGACGTCAGAGCCGCGAAACCATAGCAACTGTCCATCACGTTGGATGAGCACACGAGGGAAGTGGGAAGCGAAAGAAGGGATCTAGTTCAAGCGAGGCTCCGGGAGCGCTCGAGGGGGGGGAAAAGGGGAAGAAGGGAAAAAAAAAAAAAAAAAGGCACAATGGACGCATTTGTGTTGTGACATTCCGAGCGGAGCCTTGCAAAAATTTAAAAAAAAATAAAATAAATTAAAAAATAAATCCGAAAAACGCGCGGCGGGAAGAAGGCACGGACGGCGCCGGAGGAAAGAAATCGCAAGTAGTGTGTGTGTGTATGTATATATATATATACCGTTATATATTGCGTGTGTGCGCGGCGGAGCTGCCGGTCGTGAGAAAAAAAGAGGCGCGCGGCCACTTCTTTTATAAAGGCAAACCCAGCTACCCCACGGAGCCGCTTTGCCGATAGCGGGGTCGGCGTCGCTCCAGTGGCAAGTCAGGGTCGCCCCGGGGAGAAAGAAAGAAAGAAAAAAAGAAAGAAAGAAAAAATCCACCCACGTTTGCAGCGGGAGGAAAGCAAGGTGGGGGAATTCTCCAGGGCCGATGGGCTCCTTTAGGAACAAAAGAGAAGGGCGCAGGCAGCACGCAAGCCCCAAAGTCTGCCTACGGCCATATTTTTATTTTTTATTTTATTTATTTATTTATTAATTAAAAAAAAATAAATCTTAGGATCCTTTTCCTGGTGGGAAACTCTCCCCCACCCCACCCTCCCTTCCATCACCATCACCATCATCATCATCATCACCATCAGCCCCTCCCCAGATCCTGGATCTCTTCGCGCGGTTGTTTCGGGCTGCCTTTGCGCGAGGCTGGGCGGAGGCGTGCAACCAGCCAGCCAGCCAGCCAAGCGGGTCGCGGGGGCGCTTATTGGGATGGATGGGTGGGTGGGGGGGTATAGATACCCTCCCCATCACCCCCACCTCCCGATCGCCGATCGCCGCGTCTTTCTCGCCTCGCCCCGGACTTTCTCCGCAGCCGGCGGCGTTTCGCGGAAATCCCAGGGGCGGATCGGAGAGGAGGGGGTGGGGTGGGGGGTGGGCGTGGCGACGGCTCTCTGCCGCAAGGGAGGGTGGACCCCCGACCCCCCCCCCTTAAGTCTTCCTTCCCGCGGGGGCCCCCGGTTTCAAGGGGGGGGGGGGGGGGGGGGGGGGGGGGGGGGGGTTGTCCCGGGACAAACCTATTTGCGGGGTCCCCAGGGTTTGAATTAGACCAGGAGGAGGAGGAGGAGGGATCGCTCTCGCTTCAGAGAAGTTGCTACAAGTGGTTTTTAAGAATCTCCCGGGTCAGAAATCATCCAGGTTCAGACGTTGTTTTTTTTTAAAAAAGGGATCCTGCCTTTCCCACCCCTTTCTTTTTTTAAAAAATAATTAATGATTCGATGCGCGTCTCGTTTCCTCTGCTCTGCAACTTGTCCGTGGTTTGTTTGAGCAAACATGGTTTGTTCAATGCACAAGCATCACTTTCCGTCCGTTTGGGGGGGGGGGCATTCCGGGAACGAGATGGTTGGTTGGTTGGTTGGTTGATTGGTTGGTAAATCTGGAGAGAGGTTGTGGGTGGGGGGAGCTCGTTGGTTCTGGGATCGGAGAAAGAGGAGAGAATCCAGCAAACAGGTGCCCCTTGCCTTGTTTGCAAGTTGGGGGGGGGCACACAAAAATCAGGGTGGGACGGTTGGTTCCGCAATTCACCCTGTTCAGGAATTCCTGCCCCCCCCCCCTTTCCCAAATCTCAGTTCTCAAAACCAGTGAATTAAAACTCATGGTTTCTGGCCATCTCTTGGTTTTATATGGCAGGTGGCTCTTAGGGTTATCTGTAGAATTGATCAGTGGACTGGGAACATTTTTGGGGGTGGGTAGGTGGGTGGGCACAACCGGACCTGTTTAAAATGATTTATTTATTTTTTTTGATTTATATGCCGCCCTTCTCTGGAGACTCAGGGCGGCTTACAATGTGCTCAGCAATAGCCTTCATCCTTTTGTATATTTATACAAAGTCAGCTTATTGCCCCCACAAACTGGGTCCTCATTTCACCTACCTTAGAAAGGATGGAAGGCTGAGTCAACCTTGAGCCTTGGCGAGATTCGAACCTGCAGTAATTGCAGGCAGCTGGTCTTAATAACCAGCTTAATAACCAACAGGGTGCCTTAGACCACTGTACTACCAAGGCTCTGTAAATGACATTACAGTAATTTGCAAGCCCTGGTTTTGGCACTTTTGACACTTAAGTTCTCCCAATAGGTTGCCTTGCATTCTGTCATTTTCGATACTCCGGCATCTTTTAAAAGATGTTCGCTACTTAGGAGGAGAATCCTGTTGGTAATTATGAACATTTAGACCCGCAACTCTTGTACTGTAATGTGTTTTTTTTTTCCTTCTTCTTCACTTATCCCGGTTATTAGAACCTAGCTCAGGTGTGGAATTTTTTTTTTTTTACAAATACAATTTACATCAACTGTGTGGTATTGGGAAGGAAGGCAATGCATTTTGCATATGGATTCTACTGAATCTTGTTGCCCACAGAGGAATAAGCAAATAGTCCCAAACACAACAAAACCTGTTTTTTCCAAAATGCAGAGAGGTTTTGCAGACAATATGGTGCCATTCTCACCACTTCTGGCAGAAGTGATGCAGCAAAAGGTGCTCTGCAGTGTAGTTTATCAAGTTACTGCTAGGCGTGAGAGCAGCCGTGTTTCTACCATTTTGGTTCCAGAGAATATGGAATGCAAACTAGATGGAGTTATTAAGTCTTAATCGAAGCTTTGCCGGTAAAACAGATTAGTCTTCTTCAGCACATATAGTGCAATGATGGGAGAAAAGCAAAGGGGAAAACTCTTACTATTATGTATCACAAATGTTAACGGAAACAAGGCCTTCCCAGGTAATTCTTGTTTTGAGCAAGAAGCACGTAATGGTTGTGGACCCTCATCAAAACATTTTAGGGTGTTTCAGGAAATAGCATTTATTTACCTTAATTTATTTCAAAATAGATTCCTGTAGTACCCGAGTCAACTCTTATGTGAGCCAATTTACGTTCTCTACCGGTATATATACATAAAGTTGTCAGTCCTTCTTTGTTAAATATGGATCCCAATTGTTTACCAGTTTTCCCATTTTTTTCCTTCTTAGAAAATTTGTCGTATAAAAGATATATGATGCATTTTGGATGTTGCAACTGATTTTTGATGCATCAAGACCAAACCTCTTAGGAGATTGAACGGAATACATTTAGCTCCATTGGTGGGTTTCTGAAGCATTGGACAGTAGCACGTAGACAATTTTAAAACATTTTCTCCCATATTTCGTGGAGCAATACATTGGATATAAAATGACTACACGCCCATTAAAATGCCACGTTTTTGAGATATGAAAAAAAAAAAAAACCAGACCAAGATAAATCACTTCAGGATTTTTTCCCCCACCTTTAGTATAAGGTGTTCCTTATAAGGTTTTCCACAATATAATGGAAAAAGAAACTGAAATATTTTAGGGGGGGGAGGAAATAACAGTAAAACGTACAATAATGTAGTTGCGTAAGTGTGCAAACCCTCTTAGTAGGGCTGTGGCTGTGTTCAGAATTAACCAATCACATTCAAATTGATGTTAAATAGCCTGCCATCGATTAAAGTGTCTGATCATGCCCATACAAAGTTCGTAGGAGTTTTCTGATATTTACTCAGTTACCTCAGAAGCCATAATCTGCAAAGAGCTTACAAAGGGATCTCATTTATTGGAAGGTATCAGAAGAAGGATACTAAAAATTTCCAAAGGTATTGAACATACCATAGTATACGTTGAAGGCAGTCATCAACAAATGGAGAACATATGGCACAACAGTTCTTGGAACTGAATATCTCTCCAAACTTGGTGAAGAAACAAGAGAACTGGTCCAAGAAACTGCCAAGAGGCCTAGAACAACATTAAAGGAGCTGCAGGAGGTTCTGGGAAGTACTGGTTGTCTACTACATATGACAACAATCTCCCATATTCTTTGTATGTCTAGGCTGTGAGGTATGTGGCAAAATGTGCTAGGTTCTGATGAGACCACAGTTGAACCTTTTGGCCATAATTCCAAAAAAGTATATTTGGCAAGAAAACAACACTGCACATCACTCTAAAAGTACACCATACCCACAGTGAAGCATGATAGTGGCAACATTATGCTTTGAGCTGCTTTCCTTCTAGGTGGAACTGGTGCTAAGTCAAGGTGGAGAGAATTATGAACAATTTTTTTTTAATTTCTTAATTTGATTTATATGCCACTCTTCTCCGGAGACTCAGGGCGGCTTACAATGCGTTAAGCAATAGCCTTCATACTTTTTTATATTTATACAAAGTCAGCTTATTGCCCCCACAAACTGGGTCCTCATTTAACCTACCTTAGAAAGGATGGAAGGCTGAGTCAACCTTGAGCCCAGTGGGATTCAAACTTACAGTAATTGCAGAGTATCAGTCAATTTTGGCACAAAACCTTCAGGCCTCGGCTAAAATGCTGAAGTTGAAGAAGAATTTCACCTGTCAACATGACAATGAACCAAGGCGTACCTCCAAATCAACAACAACAACAAGAAAAATGGCTTCATCAGAAGATCAAAAGTTATGGAAAGGCCCAGCCACAGCCTGGACCTGAATCCAATTGAAAACCTAAAGAGAGGGCTATGTACAGGAAATGCCCCCATAATCTTGACAGATTTAGAGCACTTTTGCAAGGAAGAGTTGAGCATAAATTCCCAAGCCAAGATGTCCATCCTAACAGGCTACCCCAAAAGACTGGATGATGTCATAAAATCAAAAGATGATTCAACAAAGTATACGTTTAAGGGTGTGTACCCGTACAGCTACCTTACTTCATGGTTTTTATTATTTTCTCCCTAAAAGGTTTCAGTTTATTTATAATTGAATTGTACAATATGTATTTTACATTAAAAGGTGGGGAAAAAATTCTGAAGTGATTTATCTTGGTCTGACTTTTTTGCATCTCAAAAAAGCTGGCCTTTTAACGGGGGCGCGTGGATTTCTCACATCCATTGTATATTTTTTTTGCTATTGTTTTGTACACTTGGGATTTAATTTACCTCTCATGAGTAATTGCCATGAGAATGATAGAAATGATTGTTTAGAAGAAGCTATGGTACGGTACCTACCTCCTTTTTTTTTAATCATGAAAACGGTTTTTCTGAGATGGGTAGGGCTAAGTTTATGTGCCTGATGCACATAAGTTATATTATGAGTTTGGCGGAGGTTTGTACCCACATAAATGCTTCCCTAAGACTT